CACAGCCGACCTAATGGAGAGCATAACTTGCCCTAGATGATGTAATTAGTTTGATATTTAATACTTGAGTTGGTACTGTAGCTTTATGGACGTGGGTGTACATTAATATTCAGCACGTTGGCAACTTCTAACCCTTTGAGGTTTGCTCCAGAAATTCCAGTAGTTATCGGGGTTGGTCACGATTGTATCTTGTTTTTTTTTTTCTCTCTTGGCGTCCGAGATCATTCTCTCGTGAGAACAGTTCGCCGCAAAGGGTTAACGATGTTGCAGTTTGAGACGAGTCTCGTGATTGGAATAAATCGTGTCAATTTTATTCGCCGGTTAGAAACGATCGAAGAACATTCGACGAAATTTTTAATAGTCTATCGTGCTTACGATAAAATCGATTCAATTCGAAGAAGGAATAATACAGTGTTCTGAACACTTTCCTTTTAATGAACGTAGAAGGACCATTTGTTTTTTACATCGTATTTTGTGTATCCCAGTCGCGTGACTCGTCCTTCGATCCAAGTAGATTTTGGTTCCTGCGCCGCTGTGTAATCTCTGTATATAAGATTGGGTGAAATGAAAGTAGAACCAGTACGGACACCCTGTGGTAAACGTCGAACGGACCAATAGTGAACGTTGTTGATTGGTTGTATATCGAGGCCGCGGGAACCGGCCCCTCTAACGAGTATTACGTTTGCAGAACCACGTAAGGTCTTGCCCATCCTGAGGACCGACGAACCGGTCTGCCCCGAGGGGAAATTGTCGTGCGGTAACGGCGAGTGCGTCGACAAAGAGCTCTTCTGCAACGGTAAACCGGACTGCAAGGACGAATCCGACGAGAATGCATGCAGTAAGTACTGCATCACGATCGAATCATCGATTTCACGATCCACTAGAATCCAAGAATCGAACGATCCTAGCGATCCAAAACCAGAGAATCCGGGAGTCGAAAAGGTCAAAATCTGGAAGGGACCGAGGATCGAATAATTAGAATTGTTCGGGGACCCAAGTTTGCTCAAGTGTCCCGCAACTTAAGAATTCGAAGCTTCGAAAATTCCGAAAAGTTCAGAGATACCAGAGTCCAAAGATCCAAGAGTCCAGTGTGTTCGAGTGTCCCACAATCCAAGAATTAGAAGCTTCGAAAATCCCCAAGAGTTCAAGATTCCCAAAGATCGCAACAATCCACTTATGAAACACATCACGCATCCCCGAGCTAAATTGAATATATCGCTAACCCCAAACAATCCGTCGGTCTTAACTTAACCAATTACTCCGACGCTGAAAAATGCGTCTCCACGGTGTATCAAGGTAATACGTACAAGCTAACCAATCCCATCCATCGTTACAGCCGTGGAAACAGACCCTAACCGGGCCCCTGACTGCGACCCAACACAGTGCGCCCTGCCGGACTGTTATTGTTCCGCTGACGGTACCAGGATTCCCGGGAACATCGAGCCCTCCCAGGTGCCGCAGATGATCACGATCACGTTCAACGGGGCCGTGAACGTGGACAACATCGATCTTTACGACGACATTTTCAACGGTCAACGTCAGAATCCGAACGGCTGTCAGATACGAGGCACGTTCTTCGTCTCGCACAAATACACCAACTACTCGGCGGTCCAGGATCTCCACAGACGTGGCCACGAGATCTCTGTGTTCTCGTTAACCCACAAAGATGATCCGCAATACTGGACCCAGGGCACGTACGACGACTGGTTGGCCGAGATGGCCGGCGCTCGGCTGATCATCGAGCGTTTCGCAAACATCACCGACGGTTCCATCATCGGCATGAGGGCACCGTACTTGCGCGTCGGCGGTAACAAACAATTCGAGATGATGGCCGATCAATTCTTCGTCTACGACGCCTCGATCACCGCGTCCCTGGGCCGTGTCCCGATCTGGCCGTACACCCTCTACTTCAGAATGCCGCACAAGTGCAACGGTAACGGCGGCAACTGTCCGTCCAGGTCACATCCCGTCTGGGAGATGGTGATGAACGAGCTGGACAGAAGGGACGACCCGACATTCGACGAGTCGCTGCCCGGTTGTCACATGGTCGACTCGTGTTCAAACATTCAGAGCGGCGAACAGTTCGCCAGGCTGCTCAGGCACAACTTCAACAGGCACTTCAACAGCAACCGTGCCCCGCTCGGTCTTCACTTCCACGCGTCCTGGCTGAAGAGCAAGAAGGAGTACAGGGAGGAGCTGATCAAGTTCATCGAGGAGATGCTCGCCAGGAGCGACGTGTACTTTGTTACTATGGTCCAGGTGAGTTACTGTTTCTCGCGAAAGATCCAAAATTGGAATTTCGGTGATCGATGATCTCCCCACTGAAAGGATTTGAAGAGAATGTTTCGAAGAACCAACGATCTTAGGAGATGTTTCGAAGATCGTGGGGCATTGAATAGCCCGCACAAAGTGACGATAAGAATGTTTGTTTTTAATATGTACGGTGGAGGTACAATTCTCTGTTTAATTGGTTCAACTATTATGGCAAAAGGCCCCTCCCTCCCCCCCGAGTCGCGCTAAAGGGTCCACTTTTTCGATCGTGTCTGACCAAACCACGTCCCCCGTTTGACTCCGTAGGTCATCAAGTGGATGCAAACGCCCACGGAGCTCTCAGCTCTCCGAGACTTCCAGGACTGGAAGGAGACCTGCGACGAGAAGGGACAGCCGTACTGTTCACTGCCGAACGCCTGTCCCCTGACCACCAGGGAGCTACCAGGCGAGACCCTGCGTCTGTTCACCTGCATGGAGTGCCCGAACTATTACCCGTGGCTGCTCGACCCGACCGGCGACGGGTTCACCGCGAATAAATGAACGGATCCACGCGTTGGATCGGTCGATACTGTGCCGTTGGTCCGTCGGTAAATGCCACACACGGACACGCGGTCAACGAAGAGACCGAGAGGAGGTTCACCTTCAACGGAGAGAAGAGAAAAAAAGAGACGACGCGGGAGGAAAACGTTTCGCGACGCTCAGACGCCTCTCGACGGGCGACGAGTCCTCGATTATTCCGATATGATTCTGGTACCGCGAAATACAATTCGGCCGTACAACCGCGTAAAGTCATCGATTAAAAAAATCGAAACAAATCATTCAAACGATTCATCATTTGGGGATTCAGGATTCTTTCGGAATTTTCGAATACACTGCGTGTCCGAGATTGAGTTAATCGTGCAATTTGAATGGTGAGCTTGTGATTCTTTATAGAGGACGAGACGTGCGATAAGAGTATGTAAATTGGTCTTCCAAGGACAGAGAATCCGTTTTAGCGTCGAGATTATACCCCCCTACCCGGCAGATATGCTCGTGAAACGTTTCCTGTCGCCGGTTGCGAATGGAAAGGAGTCGCTTCTTGGGCGAAAGGGTCGAGTCCTTCGAGAGGACACTCAACTTGTACATAACCACCGTATTCCTTGCCCTCCTACACCCCCTTCCCCGATCCTTGTCCTTCGATACCTTGCAGGAGGGTCGATCGAAAGATTCCGTGGCGCCGGGTTGTCCCTTGGTTACACCATCTTTAGAAGTTAAGTGGCGCGCGCGAGAGGTTAACGTGTGATTTCTAGAATATTCCTTAAAGTATTTCTGAATAAAAGTTCTCGAAAGAAAAATAACAAATGATACCCCCGAGACCCTGAAATCCTTTCTAACCCAATTTCATCGATAGACTTGCGCGTCTTTTGCTTTATGTGTAAACTTTGTTTCTTCTTCTAATTCAGTAAGTCTCGACTGACAAAGGCCCTAGATAACAAAATTTACAGCTTCCAGATCCGGAGAATATCAATTTGAATACACATTTTTTTATTACCCCTAGAAGTTTATCAGATATACGTAATGTTAAAAGCAGAGAGGAAATTCCTCTCTTTTTTTAGAATACAAAGATTTCCGTATTGTTTCGACACTCTATTTTTAAAATAAAAGCCGTTCTCTCGAAAAATTTTCACCCATAGAATGTTGTATCCTGCGCCGGGATCGACAGTCACGCGATTGTGGCCTGGGGCCTCCTTTCGATTTCGGACGACATTCCTTTTGGACCACGAGAACTGATTCATTGATCGAAAAAGCGGGGAACATTCCTTGCATCTTTATTCATTACGGAGATACATATATGTATAAATAGATTTGATGGATCGTCCAGGTACGAAAGAAATTCTGAATGAAAATGGTAGTACACTCCAAATTGTACTACGCGATGACCTAGACGAAATTCTAAGAAATGTGGTGTGTAACTGGTATAGTACACTTCGGTTCAAGTGAGCACAAATATCTTGATCAATCAGACAATTATCGTGCCTATCTGATCATTCGTGAGATCATAAATCTCTTGTGTCAACCACTGGCGTAGACACCACGGGAAGTTTAAGCTGGTAGGCGGGTGAAGAAATGAATACAATTCGTTATATTTCTATATGTTTTTTTATTACATTAACAAAATGTACATACTCATGTCCCTATACACAACCCGTTGTATAACTTTGATTTGTGACTCGGTGGAGCATCTCTCTTAAAGAAATTCTTGTTCTATGGCATTTTCCTACGACGAATTCTTCGTTCACGTCACGCGAAAGAAAATAATAAAACGATGTGTATATGCTGTTTATACGTGACCAGTCCACCTTGGTCTGTCATTTTGAGACGAAAATCCAAGGGCCATTTACATAAGAAACAAGTACAGAAAAACATAGGGCAACAGAATAAAAACAGCGATAAGAATTTATCATGATAAAGAATGTACATACAGTGTTAGATATCGTGCCTATGTTCTGTACATGGAAATATTATACAGAATAAATTAAATAAATGCAGTTTCAATAGCCAGACAAGTCTCCCGAGATTTCTGTACTAGAAGAAACTGGTATAGATTGCTCTCGGTGCTTGTGAAAACTATTTTTTGATGTAAGGAAAACAGGTTCTAGACATCGTTATCGAGATGAGGAAGGAATCAATAAAAAAAAAGTCTATTTACAATAATGCTTGCCAAACGGTGCAACATAATTGTTTATCACAGCAGCATTCGGTTCTATGTTGTTTACACAACTAGACATCAAATAGACGTTAACCCTTTGCTGGGTAACTGTAAATAATTTTGTGCATTGCCACTGAAATCGTGTACACACGTCTGCGTATGAGCAAACTACTCCTTCTTTCGCCCTATGAATAACATTTATGATCCTGGAAAAAGTACTGCTTCTCGCAATCGTGTCAAAAATATGTGTCTTGGGTCATATTCCGAGGTAGCTGCAGAAAATGAACGCGCTACAGATACTTAGAATAATCATTATGATGACAAACCAGAATGGCAGTGTATCTGAAAAGAAAAAAATATTGTTAAAATTTCCTTCTTATGGTTTTTGTGTTATTTTTAAACAGGAATCACTCACGTCTGAATGGTATACTGTGTATACAGATTTTGTTGTCCACAGAGATACTAACGACAGCAGTTTCGGTGTTACTGGTAATTGCAGGGCCGTCTAGTTTAGTTGGCAAGAATTCTAAACCAGTTACAAACATGCTGTGCGCACCAGGTACATGCAAAGCTCTCCTCAAACTGAACGCGACATAAACATCCACGCTACCAGAGAACATTGTTCCAACTGCCACAAACTGTCCATCATCCGATACTGCCAGGGCAGATAAGGTTTCTTTGTACAGTGCTGTCTTCAATATATTTCCAGAATCAATGTCCCACATTTGCAAGAAACTGGGATTCTTGCCTACCACTGCATTGGAAAGCATGAACAGTTGTGTTTTCGACTTTTCCTCTTCCAATTTCCGAAAACGACATCTCTTATACATATACTTCAATGCGTTAGGAGGTGACCAGGTCAATTCCTTGTCCTTCGTGCCACTGTTTACATTCCACAGAAAAGCTTTCCCATCCTTTGCAATACTTGCAATAAGCACACCATCAGGACTGAAGTCTATATCATCAATTTCCTTAGTATGTGCCTCCAAATCGTACAGCTTGTGTAACTGTGGGAACTTCCACAATCTTACATGACCATCTGTTCCACCAGTAGCCATGAATTTTCCATTTAAGCTTACTCTTACAATCCTTTGAAGAGGTTCTTCCTCACTGTTAGCAATAGATAAAGTCCAGATATTAAATAACGAGCAAAGAAACTATTATTAAAATATCTAACTACACAAATAGATTGAATATACATTCCATGTATTTTTCCCCTACACATATTAATAATTACCTAAAATCTGTCTGTACACTGTCAGCAGGCTTCACGATTAACTGTAACTTTTTCCTCTTGATATTAGAATTATCATCTTTGATTTCCTCTATCCTTGCATTTGAAGTTTTAATTTCTTCTATCTTATCTATGCTTTTCCTACGCCTAAGGCCTTCCTTTCCATCCTTATCAGGTCCTTTAATAACTTCCCCATTTTCCACAGTAACTACTTTAGTGTTTACATTGTAAAGCTGGCAATGGCTCTCCTGGCCAGCAACAATCCATGTCCTTTTGCCATCAGTGTGTGCATTACAGTTCATTACGACACTAGGACCTGTCTCATGTCTGGTTACTTCTTCAGCGACAAATTGTGATCCATTGTGAGATAACTCAAATATTTCCTGCAAGAGTGCAGTTCCATGAAACATTGATACTGACTTGCAAAATTAATTGCTATTCTAATACAAAGAAATCATTAATAATACTTACAAATCCATTAGCCACCCCTGTCTTTGAAGAACCTCCACCACCACCTACCAAGATGTGCCTGCTGGTCAACATCTGCAACGTGTACAAGGGAAAGTTTACCCTGGCCAGAAGACCACAATCATTCCTCCTGGATGGCATGATGTTAGACAAATAGTTTCAAACCTATAAACGTTCTAGTTTTAGTCACTCTCCGTCTAAATAGACAGGTATTTGATAGCGGAGGTCTGTCACTAATTAAAAAATTAGGCTACCACCGTGTTTCCTCATCGCGTAATGAAAAATCTGTTTTCACAGATCATTATACAACGTTCAAGGTGCGCTAGGCACGTATCGCGAATATAGTTGCAATTCCCTGGCTCAACGGATGACAAAACAACAACGAACACGTATACAATCTCTTGACTGCTTCAGCAATGTACCGCAAGATGACTGTACCGTTGTGTTCCAATTTATTCTAAACGCATCGTTAATGGACATGTTTATAAATGTTCCTTTTTACATGTTCTTGTTTTATTCGTTTTTATATCTTGCCTTACATTTGTATATTTGTAACAAATA